GCTTCATCCTCTTATGTAGTAACCCGGCAAGATACAATTAATCTTAAAACGTAGCATACACTAGTTTGTGATACAACATTGTGTGGAAAGGGATTTGTCCGTGTTTTTCCATTTTCAAATGTGAATTTTACTGTAGCTTATCAAGTTCATTATCAAGTAAAATGTGTTCTCATAATAGAGTGACTTTGTCAGTGAGTAATCACCTGATGTAGCATTTGGCCTGACTGTCTTGTCGTACTTTGTAGTTAGATATTCCACCAAACTTATGGGAATATTTCCTGTTCCATTCAACGCTGGCTCAGATTTATTTTCCTCACTACAATCCATTAAAGGCAAAAACGTAATGATAATCATGCAATAAGATTGGTAAAAGTGACGTATGGTCTTATGAAGTTCAGCCCCTCTTTGTGAAACCAGTAACCGCACGCGCTACTACTTTGAAACCTCATTTTTTTTTCAGCGTACTTTGATTTAGTGTCGTAAAACCAAATTCATCACAACAGCCAATCATAGAAGGGAAAATATCACGAGGAGCCAATCTACAAACTGGGACTGTCGGTCACTATTTGAGATTCTTTTGTCTGGTGTGTTTCCTCTCTTGACATTGTATCTAGAGTAGTCACTTGGCAAAGTTAACGAGACGGAGAACAGCAGAATAGCATCGGAGCCAACTTCGTTTTCTTAGTAAAACAAAATTCGGACTGTCTATTTCCGACACTCACAATACTCATATATTATTCATATTACACAGATGTCTCACCGTCCAGCAACATTAACAGCAATTACGGAGAAAATAACGACATTTCTAATCCAACACGGGGCCATGATTCTCTTTTGTATCTTTTAGTTTTCAAGGATAACTACGCAGTTCTTCCTCTCCAGCACTAATATTCTCTATTTCTGTTAAAAAAGAGAAAGGGCATACTGCTTTCAGTTCCAAATAAAGTTTAAAAAAGCTACGAGTATAAATATTGAAATTCATGAGCTAACGCCATACAATGAATAGTTTTTTCTGCAATCGAGACTTAACCATTTACATCACTGCAGATCAGTGATATAACCCCAGATTTGCATATGTGGAAAAGTACAACTTAAAACCTAATTCAAAGTTCAATTTTGATCTGTCCGTCAATGAATGAGAACTATAAATGTTTCGTCTAATGCAGTATGGCGAGCTTTCAATCAAGACTGATGCTGCCAAGCGTTGAGACAGGTGTAAGGAAACAATGAATCCTTTAGCTCTCCAAGAGATTGACTCCCAACTTGTTCTTAGTGTATTTTCCAACAAACTGATGAGGAGAAGGGAAAAAGTCATCAACTATGCAGCAATTTCTTGAGATATCACCAAATTTCTCTTAACTAGTTTATTACGAAATGTAATGCACCTGGAGAGGAGAATTACGAAATAAAACTTGGATTTTAATGGCCTTGCAGGTATAACTCCCATTATTGTGAAATACTTACTGCAATTATCAGATATGCAGTAAGTATATATCAGCACGAAAATAGAACCTTGAATGTTGCGCAATGCTCAAGTTTAAAATGTCATTTTTCATCGCTGTTGTGTTTTATGACTCAGACCTTGTGCTCTGTTCTCGATTTTAATTTCAATTCATGTCACGCTGTTTGGTCAATTTGTATTAAAAAATGTACTGTTTGTGGCAACGAGTAGTTTCTGGAATTCTCTTCTAGAATATGGAACACAATGCTTTTGTTTCTGATAAAGGGTAAAACCAAACATCGTTAGTTTTGCTTTTTATCGTGGTAAAATATTTTCCTCTTGAGGAAAGACAAGCCCTAGCGGAATATTTTTTTTGCTTCTGTCGCAGCGTCGCAGCCCACAAGCTCGTTTTCAAAGGAACAAAAAAGGACAAAAGGACAAATGCTCTAAATCAGCTAAAGCTCGGCATTTTCTAGATCTAGTTGCTTCTTTCTTTCAAAATACAAGCGACGGCCTATTTGCCGGGTTATTTGTTAGTTAACTTATCGAAAAAAGTTTAAACTTGCCTGATAATGCGAGGAAACCATTTCGGTACTGAATTCGAACAACCCTCTTGAATTTACACCGAACTCTAGAAAGCAATTAGTCATCTCTGAAAACTTTGGCAAATACCACACAAAAGACGTTACCTTGTCTTTATAAGGTAAGAAAAACTGTTAATGTAAGATGCAATAGATGTTATCACAATTTCCATGAAATCCCATTAATTATTAATTGCCTCACAACATTCATCAAAAACCTCATTTCGCGCTTGCTCAATTTGTTTCCATATGAAAATGGGAATCATGTCGTGAAATTCTTTCCTCGACGTGTGTTAATTCTGCCCAGTACGCAGTTTGACATTTTGTTAACCCCAATTCGTTTGTCTATCGGCACATATATATTGGCTTGCCACATTAACCTTTACTCTGGCATAACGTGATAAGCGCAGCATTTAAACTGTTTGCGAATACATCATTTGATTGCCTACCACACGAAACCAGAAAAGTGTTGATGCTACTAAAAAATCCATCCGTAACAAAATGAAATTGCACGTGTCTCGATTATTTTCGTGAAAAAAGCATGATCAGTTTGGACTGGCCCAGGACAAGGCTCATATTTTTTTCTTCTCTTTTAGTTTGATTAAGGGCCGTTTTTTTTGCCGATTCAATAACCTAAACATGTTATAGTGAAAGTTGATTTATGACCTCTTTTATGGAAAACGGAGGGAAATCGTACAACTGATAATTACCATACGATTAAAAGTTCAACGTAACGAAGTGAATAGAGTTTGGAGATTTTCTGTCCGTGATACACGATCCGTTTTATCTAGCAATCATCGTTATAATTACAAAAACCATGTTGCGTTTCTCTTAAGCACTCAGCATATGCCCTTCCTATTTCCTCGGCTCAGAGAGAAATTGAATCCAATTCGGAATGAGTTGTTGATGACGTAAACAAAAAAACAAAAAAAATTGGCTGACCGACTTCCTTCGAAGGAGAAAACTTTTCAGTTGCCAAAATGGGTTGTTATTAAAAAAGTAATGAAATTACATGTATCTTAAGGTGAAATTATAATCCTGATTATAAAAAAGCGTTTTTTTTTGCCTGAAGCCACAGCACGAAAATAAAATTTATCAAAGATAACATTGTTTGAAACCTTTGTTAACTGAAGTTTAGTTTAAGGCCCATCTCATGTTGAAGCACATTAAAGTAAATTCTCCCGTTAATGTTTCAACATATTAAATAAAAAGTTGTTGCGAAGGAGCAGGGTCTGTTATATCATAACACGTAATCAAATCTCATGGCATAACTTGGGTGGATGAAACATTTTTGACGGAAAACTTTTCTAAGACGATGGCACCTTAGGCGCGTTAAAGCAGGAGCTTAACTCCTCTAGGAAAAGGGTTTTACAGAACATGGGAGATTGATAAAAGTACAGCACAGCTTTATTTATTAGGCAGATTTGGATTGAAGAGCATACTACGAGCAGTATTCAAAAGCTTTGTTGTATTTCCTTGGTGCGTCGCCCCTCGAAACTTAATGTAATAAGGGCGTGAGTTGCTGTTTAATAAATATTCGAGTATGGAAAATATAAAGATTTTTTTCTTCCTTTTTTTCAAGAGTCTGTTTTTCCTTAGTTAATATACAGTGCGTTTTCACTTGCCTATTGATTTTCCACAGGTTCAGTTAACAGTTCTCCTTCCACCAGTGGCTTAATATCGATTTCAACTGAAATGACATCGACACTGCTAAGTTCGATTTACTTTCGATTCTGACTGGAGACAATTCTATCAGATGGAACTTCAATCGCTTAAAAGAATCATGATGGCTTAACCTACCTGGCAAGTCTATAAAATTAAACGCGATATTCTGAAGTCAGCAACCAGTTCTTTGGAAACTACGCGATGTTACCTGAGTGTGAACTCATGGATACAAATTACGGAATTTCAGGTGGTCTCAGGATGGGTTTGTGATGCAAATTATGACCTCGTTAACACATGTTTTATACTTTAATACAATTAAATAAAATGCTAGCAAAACACTCAAATGGAAACTTAAGCCACGAAAAGCACATATGTGAATAAAGAGAAAAGTTACATAGCCTTCATTAACACCAAAAAAATTATATATGAAGTCCATTGCACGAAAATTAAGATGTAGTTAAGTACTCGAAATTCTTACTCTTAATTTAAAATTAATATCACGCCTACTTATTTCATATCGACTTGAATCTAAGTGGATTCACCTGTAACATTACAATGACAGTTCGAATTATTTTTCACGCCTCTGACAGTTTGTGTTTCATCGACTTCTCTCTAGTGAAAAACGATGTATCAACTGCTATGAGTGTAATTTGTGCAGAGGAACTGTCAACCTTTAAAGCGTTTTTTGTAATCTTCCCATTTCAAATCGTGGTTTTAAAATTTTCAAGTTACTGCTTGGCAATTATTTATTCATGGTTGTCATCCTTTGCGTTGATAAATTATTTAAAATAACACCGTTATGTTTGTAAACGATTTCAGTCAGACATCCTATTTATACATAACTTCTGACCAACATGTCCGTGGCGACAAAGGCATTGATAAAAACGTTGGTACTGCTCCTAGTGTATGGGCTTATCCAATTGTTTTGCTTCTTTTTTTTTTCTCAAATGACGCCGAATATCAAGACAGTTTCATAAACATATGTGGAGGGCATTCTAAAAGCAAAGTGTTTTTTAAATGCAAACGAACAACTTTCTTAACACCAGAAATTGAATAGAAGGTAAGGCGTAACTTAAAAAGTGTAAATATTCTAAGGCGTCACTCTTGATTGATTGCCTTTGAAATATTACTATTAATGCAGATTCCATGTAAAAATGTCTAACCTTTACCAAGTTTAATTGATTCAAGAGACTTTTTGATATGTCTTTTAGCCCAAATAGCCCTCAGGTCACGGCTCTAGAAAGAAAATGTCGTTTTTCAGCATAATTTTTCCTAGGCCTTGAAGGATCCCGGAAAGAAACATCTGACAACATAAACTACTCTATCTCTTAGGCTCATACATTTCATGTACAGTTGTAATCTCGATCATCGCCATCGATTTTTCTTAATGATGAAGCTACACAATGTTGAGTAACTATAACGTAAACCCGTGCAGCTTACAGCTTTGTGTTCAGTACTGTCAAAAATACAACAGAAACTTTAGGCAGTAAGTACGGCAACGCTGAGCAAAAGGTCTATTGAAAAACGAATTAACTCTTTTGTTTAGAATTTCTCGAATGACAAGATGTACTTGCCTTCTCTTGGCATCACACCTAAACTACAGCATAACACGGGAGCGCATTGTGGAGTTCCTGATAGAACCTTAAATAATTCGCCGTCTGGGTCTCTGTCCTAAACTTGGAAAACTTGGTGATTTCACGGTGTTGTTTTGTAGAGGAAGGCTAAGAAATGTACAAAGTTTTAAAGCGCACGTGCTTAGCCATTGTTCTGTCCATTAAATCTTTTGTTTCGCCGCGTCCTCCCTCGTATTTGCTTAGGTTTACAGTCAAGTCGCCTGACAGTCATCTCGCCCGAAGTCATGTCGCCCGAAACCTGAGTCATGTTGCCCGAAATTTTAGTAATGTCGCCCGAAAAAAAAAAGTCAAGTCGCCTGAAGAAACAAACACTAAAAAGATCTGAATTTCAGACTGTTAATAGGCAATAACGTTGAGAAATTTTTAACCACTACAGCGCTCTTTGTTTCCGACAATACCATGAAGATTCTTAAAGTTTAAATTCTTTCCAACGACAAAATGCAGCGTTGTTCGTTTGGTATGTAATCGTTTCCTACTCACAGACGTTTCGTAAGCTTGAGAAACTTTTTCTTGGTTTCTACCAAGACCATGAAGACTTGACTACACAGAAATCGGTCATATATTCGGAATTGAAATATGTTTGAGTAACGATTCTAAAAGCGTGCTTCGTTTCTAACAACAAAGGGAAGCGTTCTCCGTTTAAAACAAAAAAATGAAGCGTTGTTCGTTTGGTACGTACTCGTTTCTTACTCACGGACATTTCGTGAGCTTGAGAAACTTTTTCTTGGTTTCTAACCAAGCCATGAAGACTTTGACTACACAGAAATCGATCATATGGTCAGAAAGGCCATATGATCGACCGTAACCGTCGCACTGTAGGGCTTGTTGATGTGGTCTAACTTCATGATCACACTCAATGCAAGGATGAATGCTCATTTTGATCAGTTCGTATTCGTATTGTAGCTAGCTTTGCCCTCTTCATATATGCTTTGATCGGATCAAAATACACATGCGACCACCAGAGGAAACAGAACACAACTACATAATTTTTGCCTATTCTGATCCTAAGGGAAATGATGCTATCAGACTGCTACTGTGAAAAAAGTCACAAGCATAAACAATAGACTGTTATCTTAAAAATATCACACTTACCTTACGCAAGTAAACAAGTTAATTTTATTTGTATGTTACTCGCTTTACCTTTTACCGCCTTGTTGAACGCGACAATCGACATTCGTTTACCAGGTGTTTTCATCTGTTATTGTTAAGAAAGTCACAAATAGACACATCAGAACTTTACTAGTATGTTACGCTGCATCCATGCATTTGTTGTTATAGAAACGAACAACGTAACGCTTCCCTCTGTTGTTAGAAACGAACAACGCTTTTAAAGTCGTTACTCAAACATATCTCAAATCTGACCATACAATCGATTTCTGTGTAGTCAAAGTCTTCATGGCATCTTAAGAAACAAGTAAGAGTTTCCCAAGCTTACGAAATGTCCGTGAGTAAGAAACGAGTACGTAGTAGGGGGAGGGAGGAGGTATGACAAGACGATTTGATTGTAAATTGGCAGCCGTAAAGAGTTTCTAAATCTGACGTTTCGAGCGTGAGCCCTTCGTCAGGGGGAATAAAGGTTTTGTTGGTCTTATGTGGTTTACACACTGAAAGACGGAGCTACGCTATTGGAGGAAACAAAAGAAAATTACGCCTGTTCTTTTAGCTACACAGCCATTCTGGTTGCCAAACAAACAGTATTCTTAGGATTTCAAGTAGCAACAATGATTCCGTGTACCTGACATTCACACACTAAAATCATCACAGTAAAACATGTAACCGTTCGACGTTCCTTTAATGGGATTCCACATCCTAACACAATGTGTCTCTAAAGAATTACTTAATTACTTAGCATTGCAGTTAAATAAAGTTATTTCTACAATTCAAAATAATTGCTTTTCTTATCATTCTTCGTCATCAAATTACCTAGATTTCTTTTTCAGATCTCATACTAATATTTACTTGAATATACTCAGTACAGTAGACGGGTTTCATACTATTCTGGTTAGGGGCCGCTCATTATTTGTCGCCGGGGAGG